CAGGAGCGAGAGTAGCACGGAGGAGAAGCACCTGAGCAGCAGCCAGGAGCAGCACGCAGGAGCAGCAGGAAAAGCACCAGAGGAAGAGCACGGCAGCATTAGGAGGAGCAAGAGGAAAAGGAGAGGAGGAGCAGGAGGAATCCATGAGCAGAAACATCACGGGAGGAGCAACAGCATCAGGAGTGGCAGCAGCAGGGAGGAAAGCAGCAGGAGGAGCAGCCAGAGGAGCAGCATGATAGGGAATGCGCAGCAAGAGAAGCAACAGGAGGAGGAGCAGGAGACCCAACTACATAATACAGAAGGTACAGGACAAGAACATCACACGGAGCAGCGGGAGGAGCAGCAGGAGAAGCACCAGCAAGAAGAGCAACAGGAGGAGCAACAGGAAGAGTAGCAGAAGTGGCGGCCAGAAGACCACTAGGAGTAGCAGCAGGAACAGGCAGGAACAGCCGGAAAAACGGCCGGGAACAGTAACAGGAGCAGCAAGAGGAGCAGCTGGATAGCAGCGGGAGGAGCAGCCAGGAGGAGCATGCCGAGGACCGGCAGGAGGAGCAGCGGCAAGAGGAACCACCGGCGGAACGGCGGGAGACACCGCAGGAGGACCCGCAGGAAGAGCCCAAGAGAGGGAGGAGCGCCGGTGGCAGAGCAGGAGGAGCACCGGAGCAGCAGCAGGAGCAGCAGGAGCAGCAGCAGCAACGCCGTCTTCCCAGCGCTCGTGGCACTCCCGGGCGGAGCGGATGCTTGCGAGCGCCACGGCGTGCGTGTGAGCACCAGATCATGCCTGCCAGCACCACACTTAATTCGAGCCTGTCCCCCTGCAGGGGGATTTTCGACGAAAAGTAAAAAATACCCCCAAAATAATAAAAGATTGTCCAACAATAGTTTGGGGACTATTTTTTACAAATTTTCTCACCTTTTTGGAGCATTTTGGGGGTATTTGTTTTTTTTCGTCGACAATCCCCCTGTTTGGGGGGACACGCCCGACATAACACCACAGCCCGCCCGCGAGCAGGGCGCCATACCTGAGGGAGAGCTTGCACCACCTACGCGCACGTTCGTTACCGCTACGGCGGGGGGGGGGGGGGCGACCCCGGCGTCACGGACGTCATGGGTCCAGCGACCGATAACCCTGAGATCCTGGCGACTCAGCTTCTTCGAGCCGGGCGTTTCCGCCCGGCTTCGGGCCCCCGGGACCCTCAGAGGATCGGTCCGGCTCGAAAAACGACGGCGAATGATGGGGTCTGGGGAATATTGCTGTCAAAAGGCGTGGAGGAACGGTCTTCGGAATGTGCTTTCGAGACATTCGGCTCGAACTTCAGGCCAGAACCGTGGTCGGCGGTGAGGTGTCTCTCGTGGCCCTGGTCGCCGTGATGACTGCGCCGTGGTGGCTGTGCCCGTGTTGGCCGTCGCTGTGGGCGTCCCAACCGTGACCCTGACTGTGGTGGCTCTGGTCGTGATTTCTCATCGCGTTTTTGTTTTCCAATGTCGGATCTCGGGAAAAAAAACTCTCTCCAGAACGCCGCCCTCCGCGAGGGGCGCAGCTGCTGGGCAGGGTCCCGAGGCAGGAAACCCTCCAGGAGCCACCGAGAGAGCTGCCGAAAGTCCGCGATGTGCGGGTCTATGGTGAGCGGTGTTTTTTTTTTTCGGCGGTGCGACACTGGGCGGGGGGGGGGATGGGGGGTTTGGCTCCAGACCTCTGCTCAGCGCGACTGTTTGCAAGAGTGCTGCCTCTGGGGGAGACTCCACCTGCTGGAAGCAGGTGCCAAACACACAACCAAGATCTACTCCACGGGGGGGGAGGGGGAGTGCGAGGACCTGCGCCGATCGGCAAAAGAGTGAATAACAAGGACGCTCACATGGGGGAGCCGAAAAAAGGCTGCATTCTGGCCGGAACTCCGAGGAGAATTCGGCCATGGCGGCGAGGGATCTCCAGGACGGGCACAGGTACCGCCATCTTCTCCCCCCCTGATGGGGGGGCCACAAAAGACGTACGCGCCCAGCTATGTACATGAGCACGGCCCCTCGATTCGCGAGACCGGCCGCGTTACACGAACATTTGTGCAATGCGTGCTCTCGAAACCAGCGAGGATTCATGTACACGTACGTCCTTCTTTCGCTCCTGACCTGAGGCCCCCTCCCCTCCCCCCATGTCGGGGCCCAGCCTTCGGCGCCGCCGTCGACGTCGTCCCTCCAGAGCACGTCGGGCCGCTGCTCGCTCCTGCGGGGGGGGGGGCGCGTGCCCGGGGCGTTCACGATGCCTTCACTTCACGGCGCGAGGAGGAGGAGGAGGAGGAGGAGAAGGAGGAGGAGGAGCAGGAGGAGGAGGAGGAGGAGGAGGAGGAGGAGGAGGAGGGGGGGGGCGGCGCGCGCCCGAGGCGCGGCCCAGGCTGCAGCGGCCTCGGGAGGGGGGGGGGGGGGCGGGCGGGCAGGAGCGCGCGCGCGGCAGGGGGGAGGGAACGAGCGCGCGCGCGCCTCGGGCGCTGCGCCGCGAGCGCCTCTCCTTCGCGAGCGGCGGCAGAACCGGTATGCCTCAAAGGAGAGCCAGGAACGCACCTCCTCCTCATCGTCCTCCTCCTCCTCCTCCTCCTGGAGGGGAAACGATGAGGACACGAACAATGACATCTCGAGCGTGGAGCGGCGCGTGCCGGCCCAGACCCGAGGCATCTCCCGAAGGGCAGGTCGTCTGCACTGCCCCGAGGTGGGCGGGTGCGAAGGAGCGCAAGGAGGAGGCGCATCGGGGGGTGCGTAAAGTGCGGGGGAGCACAGCGGGAGGCGACGAAAGGGGGCGCGTGGGTGCGAGGGGGCGAAGTATACGAGGCGGGGAAGAGCGCGCGCGGTCTGCGAAGGAGCAACATAGGAGGCGGGGGCTTGCCCGCCCCCCCAACGTGCCGCCAGCATAGTGCCTGTTCCCCTTCGCCCCTTCTTCTTAGTATTATTCCCGCTGTTCCTTTTCTCATTCTTACTATCGTTATGATCACCATGACTATCATCGGTATACGAAACATATATATATACATATATACACATACATATATATATATATATGTATATATGTAAATGTACGCATATGTATAATCAGTATTAGTATTATTAGTATTACTGTTATGATTGTTAGTATTATTAGTATTATTAATACTAATAGTATTATTATTATTATTAATAATATTATTATCATTATTATTATTAATAGTAGTAGACTATATGTATATATGTATACATACACGGACGGCCATGCCCCCCCCCCCCGTGCTAATTGCCAGCACATTGCAAGAATGGGCGGGGGGGGGGGCAAGGGGAGGGCCGAGGAGGGTCGGGGAGGGGGCCCCTGACCTTTCCTACCCCTCCCCCCCATTCCCCCCCTTTACTCCCTCCCCCTCTGCCCCCATCCCACTCCTCCCCTCGCCCCCCCCATCCCAATCCTCCCCTCCCCCCTCCCCCCCATCCCAATCCTCCCCCTCTACCCCCATCCCAATCCTCCCCTCCCCCCTCCCCCCCATCCCAATCCTCCCCTTCCCCCCTCCCCCTCTACAATTGCAGAATATGAGCCCCTCCACTGCAGAATATGAACCCCTCCACCTCCATCCTCCACACCCTCCGACCTCTGCGGAGGGCGCGAGAAGGTGATAGGAGAGGTCAGAGGTACAGACCTCCGACTCGCCCAAGCGCGACCCGAATCGGATGAGAAACTCTGCAGGAGGGCGCCATCCGGCGAGGGGGGGACCCACGAAAGCGGGCGCGGCTGGGACAAAGGAGCGTGCCTCCGCAGTCGCACGACCTCGGGGGGCTCTGCCTCCTGGGCCGCACGACCAGGAGAGGGAGAGGAGGAGGAGGAGGAGGAGGAGGAGGAGGAGGAGGAGGAGGAGGAGGAGGAGGAGGAGGAGGAGAAAGAGAGGAGGAGGAGGAGGAGGAGGAGGAAGAGGAGGAGGAAGAAGAGAGGAGGAGGAGGAGGAGGAGGAGGAGGAGGAGGAGGAGGAGGAGGAGGAGGAGGAGGAGAGGAGGAGGAGGAGGAGGAGGAGGAGGAGGAGGAGGAAGAAGAGAGAGGAAGAAGAGGGAGGAAGGAGGAGGAGGAGGAGGAGGAGGAGGAGGAGGAAGAGGAGGAGGAGGGGAGGAGGAGGAGGAGGAGGAGGAGGACACGGCCAGATCGAATCCAAGCGCGCCGAGATAGTAGACGGGGAAAAGGCAGACGATTTGAAAAGACGAGCACGCGCGACTCAACGATGAGAACGGTAAATCACTCAAACGAGATACCGAAGACGAAGCCTAAAGCAGGTACACCCGGAAACAAGGAGAGGACGGGGCTGGCCCTTCACTCCAATAAACTCTCCCTCCAAGTTCCCCCTTTTCATGGGCCCTGGAAAGATCGACCTTCTCTGCGGGAAGAGCTCCGTTGGAAGACAACCGTATGCAACTCTTCAGCCGTGCTCACGCACCATCCCTGGGTTTCAACGCCGCGAATCAACGTAACTGTTGCGACCTGACGATTTTAAATCGTGCCCAAGCACAATTTCTGGGACGTCAACACGGCGAGTCAACGTGACTGTCGCGACCTAACACCTCTATATCGTGCCGGCGCATAATTTCTGAGACGTCAACCATAAGAATGATTGAAACGATGAAAATGTTCAGGCGAATGTGCGTGGCGCTGAGGCGTTCACCACAATTTGACAAGCAACCGCCCTCCATACGTGAAGCTCATTTAACAGTTTGAAGCGCATGTGCACATCGCGCAGGTGAAAACCACACTTTGAAAACCACCCGCCCTCCATCCAGCAAAATCTTACAGCCTTTTGCGCCGAATGTGCGCGGCGCTAAGACGAGAACCACATATTGAAAACCACCCACCCTCCATCCGCAAAGCTCTTGCAGACTTTCAAGGCGAACGTGCGTGGCGCGCATGCGAGAGCCACATTTCGAACACCACCCGCCCTCCATCCGTGATGCCGTTGCAAAGTTTAGGTCGGGCATGTCTCCTTCCAGGCGGATTTTGGACCAATGATCAAACCAAAACAGACAAATGCCCCCCAAATGCTCAGAAATGGTCAACACATCGTCTCCAGACTTGTGTGTGTTTCTTCTTTTTTTTATAAAAAATGAACTCCCCCCTGTAGAGGGACGGGCCCGATTTGATTCAACATTTCAGACTTGAGGACCATGCGCGGCGAGGGGGCACTCCGACGAGCGAGAAGCGCCTGGGCCGCCCTGCAGACTTGCGGCCTCGTGGTGCGAGGGGGGGAGGCGCGAGTTTCAGGGAACAGGAGTGAAGGCGGTCGGGGAGGAGCAGGGGGAGGAGCAGGGGGAGGAGGAGGGGGAGGAGGAGGGGGAGGGAGAGGAACAGGAGGAGGGAGGGAGGCGCTAACTTCAAGGAGCAGGAGGAAAAGGGGAGGAGGATGCGGACAGGAGCGGGGGAGGAGAAGGGGGAGGAGAAGGGGGAGGAGGGGAACGGTTAAGTTGGGCCTGTCCCAAGACAGGCCGATTTCAGACGAAAAGTAAACATACTCAAGACACAACGAACATATTCAAACATTGTCAGAGAATCGTCCCGAGACTATTATTTTACCGTTTGTTAAATATCCCCCTGTAGAGTGACAGGCCATACTCAAGAGAAGGGGGGGAAGGATGAGGACGGGAGCGGGAGAAGGATGAACAGCAGCAGCCGCAGGATGAGCACGATGAGGAAAAGAAGGAGGAGGAGGAGAGAAAAGTCTCGCGCGCCCGCCCGCGGCTCTTGGCGAATGACTTCACGTAGTAGTTGTCATCGAGCATCGCCTTCGGCCGCCAGGCCACGCAGCCCTTGACTCGTCTCCTCCTCCTCCTCCTCCTCCTCCTCCTCCTCCTCCTCCTCCTGCTGCTCCTTCTCCGCCTCCTCCTCCTTCTCGTCCTCTTCCTCCTCCTCCTCCTCCTCCCTTCTCCTCCTCCCCCTCCTCCTCCTCCCCCTCCTCCTCCTCCTCCTCCTCCTCCTCCTCCTCCTCCTCCTCCTCCTCCTCCTCCTCGGGCCCGAGGCGGACTGGGGAGCCGCCGCGCGGGCGGCCGGTGCTCGCGTGCCGTGGAGGCCGTCCGCTTCCCGAGGGTGGGGGGCCCGGAGGTGGATGCAGGGAGACGGCCGAAGGGCCGCTCCTGTGTGGGGTCCGCAGGCAGAGGCTTCCCTTTTGCCGGGCACTGCGCAGCGGGCAGCGCCTCAAGGTTAGCTTGCCAATACCTGAGCCAGCACAGTTGCGGAAGGGATGTCACAGGGAAGTGAGCGGACTTCACACACACACACACACACACCCAAGAGGTGGGCCCAGTTCCCTCGCGAAGCAGACGTCAACGATCTTGTCTTCGTCGCCAGGGTGAGTTCAGGAAGTCTCGCCGCGAGGCCATCGGTCGGCTCTTCGGGGGCCCCGGGCTTGTCGAGAGGCCCCTGGGCCGTGGTGCCTGTGCTGGCGCGCCGGCTGCGCAGGAGTCAGGAGGACGTTCCTTGGACGCCCGAGTTATCCGGGGTAACTCGGGTCCGGGGTAACTCGGGTTTGGATTCCCGAAAAACGAACCCGAGTTAGCCCTGACCCGAGTTACCCCTGATGATTCGGGGCTATGGACGCCCGAGTTATCCGGGGTAACTCGGGTCCGGGGTAACTCGGGTTTGGATTCCCGAAAAACGAACCCGAGTTAGCCCTGACCCGAGTTACCCCTGATGATTCGGGGCTCTGAGTTCCTCCTGTGGACGAGCTGAGGCGGAAGTGTGGCGACGCATGCCGAGAGGGTACCGCACGCGCCCGGCACAGCCGCTGCTGCTGGCCTCCGCAGCGCCGCGCGGGGCCTCGCCTGGGCCGCGCGGGCGCTGCTGCGGGCGTGCACGCCCCGCCCAAGACCGCCCGTCGGACGGCGGCGCAGACCCAAGACCCCCGACGTCGCGATTTTTGTTCACAGCGGCGACCCCCAGAGGTCTCGACTCGTTCCCCGGGACAGGTTTCTCATCCTGAGTCGTTCTGTTGACGGTCGTGATTTTTTCACAACGGCGACCCCCAGAGGTCTCGACTCGTTCCCCGGGACAGGTTTCTCATCCTGAGTCGTTTTGCTGACGGTCCCGAGGCCCGGTAAGGGCCCCTGGAGGCCGAAGATGGCGAAAAGCCTCCCGCCGTGATTCCTGTCACGACGCGAGGGGGGTCTGGGAAGTGCCCGCCTGGAAAACCGACGGGAGCGGCCGACAATCTCAGACCTCGAACCTTTCGGGGGTCGATGCGTCACCCCCTGAGCCTACCCCCACCCCTTGACCTTGCTCCTGACCTGCGTCGGAAGCCCTCCGAACTGCGAGAGCCTCGAGGCTGAACTCCCCACCCTGAGAGACTCGGGGGGTGGGCAAGGACCCTCCACCTCCATCTTCCATCCGTTCCGACCGACCTTCTGAGCCTCTGAGCCTCTGACCTTCTGAGGCTCTGACCATGGGGGTCGATGCGTCACCCCCTGCGCCTACCCCCCCCTGAACTTGCTCCTGACCTGCGTCGGAGGCCCTCCGAATTGCGG